TAAAAAGCCGAGGGAGTGTGTGCGAAACCACCCCTCTGTGGAGGTTTTCCATCTTCACACACTTCTGCCATAGTTCTGAGGCAAAGCACTCTTAATTCAGTGTTCCCTGAGCGAAGCGCATGTGAACACACACGCCGACTCGCGAGGTCCCGCCTTTACAGGGGCATTTCACGACTCCCAACCCCAAGGGCTTGGAACACTTCGACGCCACACCTACCTGCCAGTCAGGCGGAGCGCAGTCCGCGGAAACCGGAAGCCGCGGGGTTTCCCGCCACCTCACAGGCAAGCGTCACCGGAAGGGGCGTGTCTGCCTTGACTCCGCCCCCAGGCAGAAAACACAGGTCGCGGGAGTCGCGTATTCAGCCCTGCAGAGTACAATCTGTGACCTCTTTCTTAGTCAGTTTGCCTGTCAGGCTCCAAATGGCAGATACGTTCGGATTTATCCGGACCTAGGATGCTGCCGGTGTCCAGGTTACCCATGACTACCGCACATGGTGTCTCTGGTCACAGTGGCGGCAGTCGGTTCCACCTTGAGGCAATTCCTTGTCTGTGGTCCAAGGGAGCTCACTGCCCCCAGAAAGGCCTTGGCGGATTCCACCGTTTTCACTGTCCTCTTTCCCTCCTCCCACCAGCTGATCAGCTTCTCCAGGCAGACACTGAAGCGAAAGTATTTGGCCACCTGAGGCAGCCCTAGAACGGAAAAGCGTGGGCAGTAGCCTCGCGAGGTTGGTTTTTCCCATGATCCCAGGGTCAAACAACTGAGGATGTTTTGTTTTCCGCACTGATAACACCATCCAGCCAGTTTGCTGCTTCTGCTTGCATAGACAAGATTATTTATTTATTTGGGGGGTTTTTGAGACAGGGTCTCATTCTGTAGTCCAAATTGGCCTTGAACTGTATACCCTACACTGACTTCAAACTCGTGACAATCCTGCCTCAGCCTCCTGAGTGCTGGGATTACAGGTGTGTCACGCTATGCCACCTGGTTTTAGTCAGGACCAGAATTTTCAGACAAGTTGTCTTTCAAGAACTTTGAAATGGCCTGGTGCTCCTCTACCTGTGTCCTGCGTTCCCCAAGACTGAAGTCTGCACTTACATACTCTTGGGATATTTGTGCACACATTTCTGGTTGCTTCTTTTCTAGAAGCTTGGCAGGGATGTAAGTCTGAGCTCGAATCTTACCAGCTCCCCAGTCTAAAGTTTTGGTAAGGGAAATACAATCTAGAGCTCCGGGGTCCACATTCCAGTACATCTGACCTTGTTGAAAATCTGATTCACTTAGCAATCGAGAACCATGTTCTTGATACTGGTAGTTTCTACCAAAACATGCAGATGAAAAACAATTCTGACCCTTTTTCAAACCACTGAAAAAGTTAGGGTTGAATTTTGTAATTCTTCTCCATTCCTCCAGAAATTTACATTAAGCTTTACAGTGATGGTCAGCTGAGGTCATTCAGTGTGACCCAAATCCAATCTTTGCAGCAATCCAGTCAACAAAATTGTCTGTAGTTCCAGAAGATATTCATCTATAGGGCTGGGAATGCGGACAGCTCATAAAAACTGGCCACGGCAGCGGCTTCTCTCCAGAGACTGATTCAGTTGGACTTTTATACTGATTTTAGTTTCTGTTTGGCCTACTACAGTAAAGTGATTGGCGATTAATGTTTAACTTTGGAATTCTCCTACAATGACGATGTCACATAGTGTGGCTCGAATTTGGCTCCTGAGAACTTTGTTTGGATGCTTCTGAGCTCCAGTCCTGCTCACTTGGACAAAGGCCCTGGTGAGAACATGGCACGCACCTTTACTTCCTCCCAGCAAAGCCGCCAGCCCCACCTTCAGCCTAAACCTGCCCAGGTCCCAGCTCAAGAGCTGAGTAGAAATCTGGCTGTGCCTAGCAAAGAAATGCTCATACGACGGCCACCTGAGCTTCACTGCCGGAGCCCCTGAGCCCCTGCTCTTCATAAATCACGGGAACCCAGAAGGGATCTGTCGCTGCCATCGTGAAGCAGCTCCAATGACCTCCCCTGCAACTTCTCCCAAAAGAGGAAGCTCAAATGAGAGACTGAAAATAGCTCGCCTGGGGAAGGCGGTGCCAGGCTGGGGCACAGCTCCTGCAGGTCTCACTAGCCACGTGCCCCAGTGCCACACTCCTCCTACCAGCTGCTCTGCTCTCCATCTCTGAGAAACCCTGCTTTGCCTTACCAAAGTGTTTGCAAGGACCACTCCCTGTGCCAGTGATGCTTACTCCTTGAGCTGGCCAAGTCCTACTATGCTTTGAGGTCCACCTCAGAAGGACACCACCACATGTGGGCGGGCACCACTCAGCCTCAGGTCTCGGCTTCCTTAAAAAGCCCTCTGCAGGGCTGGGGATTTAGCTCAGTGGCATAAGTCACTGCCTGGCAAGCATGAGGCTGTGAGTTTGATCCCCAAAAAGTACCGCACAAAAAAAAAAAAAAAAAAAAAAAGAGGCCTCTGCAGCTGGACAGGAAGACAACACACCTCATGTGCCTTGGGCACTCTTTACAAGTGTCAGGTGTCCTGCTTGCCTTCTGATAGTGTCACAAGGGCAGGGGGCCCAGGGTCTCACTGCCTGTGGTGTCCCTGGAGCAGGAACCCCAGGTGTCCTGTGAAGCAGGTTCCAATTCACCAGGACACCTGGGACATGGCTGGAGCAGACTTTGGCTGGGCTGACATGGTCCGCTCAAAGGCCCAGTGTGGCCATCGTTGGTATGGAGGGCCCTGCTGCCCTGCCCCCACGGGTGGCATATTCCCACACCAGTGCCTGTTCTGTGCCTGAAGCAGGCTTGCCTTTTCTGGCTCATTTGCCCACCTGGAAACATCTACGGCTTGGGGAGCTGCTAATGAATTAAGCTTTAAGCAGAGGCTGCACGCGACTGCTCTGGCTCAGTGTCAGTTTCTTTTGGTAAATAAACTTCAGCAAGTGCTCTCAATGAGTTTATAGCCACGCTGAGCGAGCTGCAGGGAGCTGGGGCTCATTATGCCCCTTACAAATGAGCTCCAGCCAACCTGTTTCCCAGTTAAAGGAGCCCCGAGTGAGCAGAGTTAACACACACAGTCTCGGCAGAAGACGGTCCCTAATAGAGGCAAGATGAAGCTGTGGTTTAGCCACTGGGCACAGGGACTCTCGCTCCTGGGAGCAATGGAAACAACAAGAGATACATGTGGGAGGTCAGAAGACACCTAAGTGCCCATCCTAACCCTCCTCCAGGGTCCAGCCTGGCAAAGGGGGCAGCTCCGTGCCATTTACAGATGGTTCATAAATTATGTACCCATTCCTGTCATGGGTTCCTCGAGAGCCTCAGTTTGCAGAGCAATAAAATCAAAGAGCAATATCCCATTCCCTGGGTCACTGCCACAGCTGGATGGCAACCCATGAACAGGGCAGCACCCTGCTGGCACACATTGTGCTCAGGGAACAGGGACAAGGGCTGCAGGCTCTCTACTACAGAAGCCACCAACCCACACTGAGCACATATAGATGGGTCTGGCGATGAGTCCCAAGGTCCGCTGGGCACTGCCTATAACCCCAGCACTTGGGAGGCTGAGGCAGGAGCGTCATCGAATTGGAAGCCAGTTTGGGCTCCAAGTGAACTCAAGGCCAGCCTACACTACACAGACCCTATCTTGGAAAAAAAAAACAACAAAAAACAAAGTTCAGTATGAAAAGCCTGCTTTCAAAAGCCCTTGGCTAAAAACAATTAAAATTTCATTAATTTTTACACTGATTACATGTTAAAATGGTATTTTGGGTATAGTTACTTTAAGTATGGTGAGACCGGTTTCACCTGTTCTTTCCTGGTGGCACCTAGGCACTTTACACTACACAGAAGGTTTGCATTTGTGGCTCACATATTTCCAAAGGATGGTTCTTATGATACGTTCTGACATGGAAATCAGATTCACCTTTATTTATTGAAACATCTCCCTATGCAGTTCAGGCTGGCGTCAAAATAGCAGTTCTTCCTCAGCCTCCAAATGCTGGGATTACAGCGTGCACCACCACGCCAGGCGAAGATTCACTTTTAAAGTGTACAAATCAGCATCTTCTGTATATTCACCAAATTGTGCTTCCATCGACCACTTTTTTTTAAAATTGGTACCAGGAATCAAACTCACAACTCCCCGCTTGCAAGGCAGGTGCTTATGCCACTGAGCTAAATCCCCAGCCCTCATCGACCACCCTTTATGTCCAAAATATGGGCGGGAGCCGGGGGGGGGGGGGGGGGGGGCCGACACAGCCCCATACTTTACCATTAACAGTCATTACCAGTTTTTCCATGCTATTTTGAGGAAAGCAAGTTGCAAAACTATTACATCACCCAGTCTCTAACGTGTATATATATATGTATATTTGTAAATGCATTTTAACCGTCTGAAGTGATGTATACCGATGCTGGTTTTCTCTGGGGACGGAACTGGGATAGAGGAGTAAAGTGGGGAGGAAAGACAATTATTTACAATATTTCCGTTCGGCTTTTAGATGTAGAGAATGAATGGACTTGGGCCCCAGATAACTGCTAGTGGACTTGGGTAAGTAACTTTGTCACAGTACCATCCAGAGACTGCCTTTGATGGAAGCAGAGAGTCTAGTTTTAGACCTACTTTTTATTTATGCTTCCAAAATGGAAAGTGCAAGCAGAGACGTGGTATTTTTCTCCTAGCAACCGCAGCGGACCGCGGCCCCGGGGCTTCCCAGCACCTGCACGGATTGTGAGAATCGAGCGAGGTGCTGGGGACGCAGGACCAGGTCTGCGGCCTCTGGAGACCAGCTGGCCTAGGGCAGCTGCCCCGAGCGCGCAGGACGGAGCAGGAGCGACTTGCAGCGCATCGGCGGGCAGCCCCAGGCAGCCACGGCTCCCACCCCACTGCTGGCGCGAAAGGATGCTGCGGGGAAGCCGAGTGCCGATCTGGGTCCAGGGGTCCAGATCCCGACCTCGAGACCTCTCCCTCCTCCGGTCCCTGTCCCCGTCCCCTACCTCGGCCCCGGGCTCGGGGGTCAGCAAGAGCGCGAGCTCGTGCAGCCCGCTGAGCACGGGATCAGGCCGGTCGTCCTCCACGAGCAGCATCGCGAGGATGGCGGGCTCTGACAGGTCGAGGCTGCCCTAGGGCCGGCCTCCGCGATCTGGCCTCGGAGCCCCGCCCCCGGTCCGCTGCACGCCCGGAGGCCCGCCTGGCGGAGGCGGGGCAGGTGCGCACCCAGCGGCCGCAGCCCGCGGCGTTCCGAGCGCCGGCTGAGCAGGCAGCGCCACCCAGTGGCTCGTGGTTAGCACTGCACGCGCCCCGGCACTACCAGTTCAACTGGTGTGGTTCGACTTCCAAAGCCCTGGTCCCGCCTAGATCATGCACAGTTCGTAGGATTGTACAAACGCCTGAGTACGGTTTGAAGTTGTCCAGGGGGTTCCCATCCAGTCACGTTTAAAGAACGGGCACCGTCGGTGTGGATCACACCTTTCCACCCTAATTCCGAGAGGAACCCAAAATCCCGCGGATGGGGCTTAATGCTAGGGTTTGAACCCAGGGCCTCACGCGCTACCAGAGCCACACCACACCCCTGGCAGTCCTCAAAGCTCTCCGGGGATTCCCAGGGCGCACCTACGCTTGGCAGGTGCTATCCTAACGGTTCTTTTCTCCAATGCTCCCAGCTTCGGGCCCCCAGACGCTCCCACTTAAGCAGCTCGGTTTAGCCCAGAGGAGAGTCCGGGAAATTGGGGAAGCCAGGTGCACGGACCTGCTCCTAGGGGCAGCTTTTAAAATAAGAAGTCTTAAACGTGCCAGATCTGACCCCCTACACCCCCGAGGCTCGCCAAGGAGGCCACGGGGCTGAAAAGTGGTGGTGGGGAAGTCCCCAACGCAACGCCAGTGAGGAAAGTACTGAAAAGGTAGATGAATGTAGATAGGGAAATCTAGAGCTTTGAATTTTTAAAATATTAATTTTTTTCTAAATGGCCTGGTGTTTGGACAGCAGGACAACTCTTTTTTTTTTTTTTTTTTTTTTTGAGACAGGGTCTCGCTGTGCAGTTCAGGCTGGCCTTGAGCTCACTTTGTAGCCCAGGCTGGTCTTGAACTCACAACGATCCTCCTATCTCAGCCTCCCGAGTGCTGGGATTACAGGCGTGAGCCACCACGCCCGGCTTAGCAGGACAACTCTTGAGCTACTTGAGCCGCCTCTTGGATGATCCGTCAGGGGACGATTCCTGCTCCCACATCTGCCTGCTGCTAGTTTCTCAGCACCCTCATGCAAATAGTCAGGTCTTCAGGCCAGATTCGTTTTCTGAAAAATTTTTGGCTCAAGCTTGGGTCTCAGGTGCTTAGGAAAAGAAAGGGGTTTATACAAACGCCCTGAGCCCACCTGGGCTGCTCACGGTTGATCTTGGCGCTGGGAGACTTGTCTGCGTCAGGGGCCGGCCAGCCGCTCAGGCTGCTCCCAGGCCTGAAGCCACCTCAGATTGGCCAAATAGGCCCAGTGCAATAAACAACCCAACGGGCAAATGTCAGAAACCCAGGCTGGGGGAAGGCGGTCACCAAGGCTCGGTATGGCTCACTGCCATTAGCAGTTTTTAAAACATGCAAAGTCATTGGGCTGGGGATTTAGCTCAGCAGGCATAAGCGCCTGCCTTGCAAGCAGGCAGTCTCGAGTTCGATCCCCGGTACTGATTAAAAAAAAAAAAACATGTGCAAACTCACTTGATAGACTGCGTGTGGATGGAGGCACCACGAGTAAATGTGCAAAGCTGCGGGGAGACGCTGTTCACATCCCGGTCTGGGGTTACTCTGGGGTGGGAGAAGAAAGTGAGAAGGGGCCTCAACGTGTTTCACGTTTAATTTCTTCATCTGACGTTGGTCATGACACTTAACTAAATAGCAGAGCATATTATTTACATGTGTTGCCTGCCCAGACCCCAATCCCTGGCAATGGGGCTGCGATCCTCAGCGCCCAGGAATTCTGGTCCTGGGCCACAGCTTGTTTTTTCCTCGCAAATATGCCATTGTGTCTTAGACTTCGCAAAAATTCCCAGATGCCCAGAGCTCTACCCCAAACTTTCAGGACGGGAGTGTTGGGGCTGGAGAGATGCAGGGCCTCCCCCTTTTAATCAGCTCTGCAGTGGGTTCTGATGCACCCCAAAGTCTGACAATAGCCCCCACCAAGGCCTTTGTTTTGCTGGCCAGCATCATCCAGGGACCTCGCTGAAGGAATGGTTTTCAACAAAGAGGTCTAAATTTGCAAAAACTCCCCAGCCTCGCGGAGATGCGTGGCTCCTGCCCCAAGGCGCTGACCCCATATAGTCCTGCCCTGGGTCCGCGGCCCTCAGGGAGGCCCCACAACAGACTGCCAGTTTGAGGCCTGGAATGCAGCCCGCCAAGGCCGCACCCTGCCCAAACCAGTTTGAACCAGCTGCCGGGAGGGAGTCGTGGCGCGTCCCCGCGAGCTCCCCCTGGCGCCCAAGCTGGGCTCCGAGCTGCGGCTCGCGCCGCCTGTTCTGAAGGCCTTGGCGGGTGCGGGCGACCGCCCTGTCCCAGCCCAGGCGGGGGGCCCCGGGTGGCTGCCAGGCCCGGAGCCCGCAGCTGGAGCCCACGCGTCCCTGGCGTCACCGCTAGGTCGCCTCTGTGTCTTCTCAGGCCTCGGGTGCGCAGGTTCTAGACCCGCTGCTGCCATGAAGCTGCTGGCTGCGCGCTGGAAACTACTCAGGCCCAGCCCCCACCCGAGGCTGGGATTTAACTGTACTGGGCGGGAGGGGCCCCGCCGCAGCCGGTGCCCGCTCTTTGGAGGGTCATTGGCTTTCCTCACCCTGTGCAGTAGGGTAGCTCTACCCTACCGTTTTAGAGACGGAGAACCTGAGACACTGAGCGGGATGCCACCTGGGATAGTCGATCCCGTGCTGCTTCCCAAAGCCAGCCCGCCTTTGACACCTGTTGCTGGATTCACAGGGTCCAGCCTGGCCTACTGAGAAAACTCCCGGACCCCTGCCAACCTGCTTATTTCACTGCCCCCCCCCCAGAGCCCTGAGGTCTCTGCTCCACTATGCTCCCCAGCGCTCCTGCACTCATGAAGTCCAGAGACCTCACCTGAATCCTCCCTTGCTTATGTGTCTCTTAATGCTTTCTATTTGAGCTCCGAGTCAAATAGGAGCACACTGCCAAACATGGTGACACGTTTGTAATCTCAGCACTCAGGCAGCTGAAGCAGGAGGATCACCGTTACGTTCGAGGCCAGCCTGGGATAATAGTGAGTGCAAGACCATCCTGAACTGCATCGCCAAATCCTGTCTCAAAAACAGACAGACAGCAGCCCAAGGAGTAGGAGCAGGAGACCATGCTGGGGACTGTGGAGTGGGCGGTCCTTCCTTGAGGTGACTGGCACATAGCTTGCCCCGCTGCAGTCCTGCCTAGGCCCGGTAGGTGGCAGATGCATCCGGTTTGGAGGGCAGTGTTGCTGTGTGGGTGTCCTTTGCGCTTTCCACGTCTTTTATGGTTCACATGTTGGTTCCAATCCTCGGCTTCTGAGAAGGCAGGCATCTGGGGCTGCCATGTGGGGTGTACTGCGTGGCCCCAAATGGCCACTGTCTCCCCTACTCTGGGGTCCCCTAAACATAACCTATGTCTGCCAACCTCCAGCAGCCTCTCCTGTCTGCATGCCCTGAGCTGATCACCCCCAATCCCCACCCCACCCCTCCCACCCTTGTCCAGCCTCACATGGTAGTTCCCCTTGAAATCCCACTGCTCAGGAGGCTGAGACAGGAGGATTGCCAAATGAAGGCCAGCCTGGGGAGACTATCTCAAAAATAAAGTAAAAATACTGTCATGTCACAAATATGAAACGGTCACTGTTTAGTGACAGGAAACAGCAGTGGCAGCATTCCACTACGGGCCAGGGAAGCTTCTCAACCTCCTCGTCATGTGGCCAGGGTCTCTGTCCTGTCCTGTCTACATCAAAGCTACACGGTCTCGAAGCTTTGGCGAAAGGGCTCAAGGTATAGGTGGCCCGTGTGCAGCCAAGCTGCCTGTTCATGGGTGTTGGGGGTCTGTTCCCCGTCTCCCAGAGTGCATGGCGAAGACCCAAAGGAATGAGACGCAGCATGATCTGTAGGGCTCCAGGGAGACTAAAATCCTCTGCAGAGTTTGTAACTCTGCTAACTGGCCGACTGACCCTGGGGAGCCCGTATTTAATCAGAACAAGCAAGGACTTGAGTGAATGGAAGAAACCTGAACAACAGATGATGCTAATTTAGGAAAACTATCCAGCAAGTCTCCAGATGACCTCAGGTGTGGCCTACCTGGCCCCCTGAGGTGTCTCCTTCTCAGTTCAGCCATGCCTGGGCCACGCCACAGTCCTGCAAGTGTATTTAGCTTCAACAGCCCCAACACGTGGGTTCGGGAGGAAGCGGTGTTTCCCTCCTCCAGGTGAGCTGTGATGTTTCCTCTGCCTCCATCTGAACAGCAGCTGCGTGGAAAATGTCACCCAGTTCCGAGGTGTCCCAGGTCACAGGCTTGTGCCACTGTGGCACAGGTGTCAGCACTGTCGGCTCACAACCACCCCTCATTCCACAGCCCTGGGGCCCGGTGGGGTCACCATGGGCACACAGGTCCCAGCTGCAGGGCAGGCTCAGTCACACGGACCAGATGTTCCCAGCAAAGGTGTGAACATCAGCCCTCGGTGAGCTGGAGAGGCCCTCAGCTACCTGACATTGGCTCAGCTCGATGAATTTCTGGTGAAAAGGGGGGAAATAATGGTTTGGGGCACTTCTTGGATTTCAAAAGGACAAAAAAGGAACTGCAGGATTTTGTCCCAATTTCATAGTTGTAGAAACTGAGGCTCAGAAGACTGCATGTACCCCCACTTAGGACTGCTGACTGAAGAGCAGGGCGGGTCCAGGGCCCAGGGCTCTTCTCTAAGGTCATATTGAGATCGGTCAGCATGGACACCCAAGCGAAACATCGTCCTTTACTCTTCTGATTTGATGGGGGTTTTTTATATGCCAAAGATTGAACCAAGGGCCTCTTCATGCTAGGCAAATCTCTACCACTGAGCTACACCCCCGGCCCTAAATTGATGCTAATTAGCTTTACTTTCAATTCTAGAACTGGGCAAGACTTCCATAAAATGAAGTGTTCATGAAAAGCAGTATTCTTCAGACTGCTGCAGATATTTGAACATAATTATTTTCCTGTTTTGAGACCCTGTATTATTGTTCATCAGGAATCTAGGG